CCCTGAGCTTAAGAAATGCTGAACGAGTTCGGCCCTTTTGATTTTCTGACTCTAGCTCCTCGCACATTTCATTGTAGTATTTTGCTTTGTCATTCCATGCTGCCTTTGGAATCTTCTGTTCAGCTCTTTAGTGTCTTGGATTCTTCCTTGTGCTTTGGCTCCTCTACGTTCCAGTGCAATCTTCAGAGTTTATTCTGACATCTTCTTTTTTTGTTACAATAAGGACAGTTTTTATTTATGAAATACATACATATTTAGTACAAAAGAAAGGTAACAAACATAGTCGTCTTCTCTTCTGCCTCGCTTACAGAACCTCTCATCTACAGCAGCACTTTCAGCAGCAGTCGCGACAAGAGGCTGATTCAAGAAGTGAAATTCTTTTCTAGAGTTGGTGAAAATAGATCCAGATGCAAAATATCACAGGTCTTCAATCAGATCCAGTTGTTTTTCATCTGTGGACTTAAAATGATCATCATCCACAGTGGAGTAGATGTGTCCCCCATTGCTAAGAAAATCCACAGCTTGTTTGTTCACAGCTACATTCACATGTTTGAGCTGAGCTTTGAGATCCTGAAAGTTCAAGCCTTCATGTCTTGGGCAAGCTTTAACCAAATTCAGCACCTGGTCAGACATAATTTTTTAATACTCTTCTTGTTTCCCTGGCTTCTTTCATTTTACTCATTTTCATTTTTAGTTCAGCAAATACTGCCCGTTTACAGCATACCAGGGAGACTTATGAGTGTTTCTGGTAGCAGGTTCTCCAGCTATTTTAGTGTATTGACAACAAAGAGAACACAGGATCTGTCTTCTGTTTAAGATGCTGCCTTCGTTGTTCTGCTTCTAAAACAAAGGAATACTAGAAATAGGTATTTTAAGTGATCAGAATTAATTATGTTTAAGAAGCCTGCTGGAAAAATTTAACAGAACAGCAAACAATAAATGCTGGTGAGGTTGTGGCACTGTTGGTGGGAGTGTAAAATGGTTCAACCACTGTGGAATGCTGTATGGCACTTTCTCAAAAAGTTGTAAATACAAATACCATTTGACCCAGCAATTTCACTACTGGGAATATACCCTAAAGAGACCATAACTGCCGCCCAAGCAGATATATGCACACCCATGTTTATTGCTGCTTTGTTCACAAGAGCAGAGAGTTGGAAACAACCCAAGTGTCCGTCAACAAACAAATGGATAGAGAAGCTGTGGTCTAGTCATACAATGGAATACTACAGTGCATTGAAAAACAAGGATCTCATGAAATATACAAAATGGGTGACCATGGGGGACATTATGCTGAATGAAATATCTCCGTCACAAAAGGACAAATACTGCACGGCACCACTATTGTAGAATGAGACTGACGTCACGGTTGGGGGAAGACTGAGAAAGATGGGATAAATTATGTATACTACATTGAAACAGATGAGGGAGAGAACTGTTCAAAAAGGGATAAATGATAGGTATTATTGTCATGACAGGAGTCCAGAATGAAGGCCGCACAGTGGAGTGGACTTGGGGGGAGGGATTGCATATCAGTGAAAGAAGTTTTCTTTTTTTTTTTTTTCTATATTTTATTAATTTTCATAAACATTTACAGAGATTTTGGGTTTCCATTCATTCATTGTTGCACTATTCTCTCTACTCTCCTCCCAGT